GGCTGGGGGGGGGGAGGGGGGCGGCTGGGGGGAGGGAAAGGGTGGCTGGGGGATGGAGCGGCTGGGGGGGGGGTGGGGGGGGCGGGCGAGTTTTTTTCGCGGAGCGACAGTACCTTTCGCGCACCCCTCGCACGACGCGCTCCCCGCACTGGAGAGGGACGGGCACTTTGCCCTGGGCTTCGGTGGGGCGCCACTCCGACGGGGCCTGACTTTGCCGGGCCGGGCACCTGGAGCGAACGGAGCACGCGCGCACCTCTCGCGCGCGCCCATCCCGCTGAGAGAGGACGAGCGTTCTGCCGTGCTGCGGCCTGGAAGCTTGGCCGGATCCGCGCGAGTCCTGCACACGGCTGCCGCTACAACCAAGAGCAACATCTGCCCGTGGCCCTCTTCGAGCCCTCGTGGGCCGTCTAGGGGGCCCCCTCGGGGACTCTCTTGGGATGAGCTGGGGCAGCTTCTCCCCCTGCTTGGGGCTCTTTTGGGGCTGTCTTTAGCTCGCCTTGGTCATCTCGGGGGCATCTCGTGGCCGTCCTAGAGCTGCCTGGGGCCGTCTCCGGGGCACTCCACTGGTCGCCCTCCTCCGCCAGGGCTCGAGCTGAACGCTGTGTTGGCAACCTCGTGGACCGTTTTCGTTTTGATCTCGCTTTGCAGCAACGGTGGAACGAAGACAGAACGAGGGATTTCAAGCAGTGGCGAAGCGTCCTGGCTCGCCTATAGCCCCACCAAGCAATGTTCTAAGAACGTGTTGCGGTTCCCAGGAAATGTTCTTAGAACATTTCTGGCTGGGACCGTCTTGTTTTAATACATCGGGAATATGCTCTAAGAACATCGTTTTCGTTCTTAGAACATTTTTGAGTTCTACGAACATTCCGTGATATGACTATAGGAATGCCGGGACGGTCGGTCCCTGCTCAAGGATTACGAAAACGAGATGACAACGGAAAACACGGTCTACAATCAGTCCGCACAGGAAGGATGGGCAACTTTCCAAGGCTGCCCTCGCATCCTCCCCATTTCGGCCCATCCTTGGCCGCTCGCAGAATGGCCTTCCAAGGCCCTTGCATCTTCATCTTCGGGTGCAACTCCTGGGAGGTCAGATTCTGACTTTGCCCTGGTCCGAAATCTGGCCTAACCCGGCTTAGTCCCGGCTAGTCCGGCGCAACCCCGCTTGATCCAGCTAAATCCTGCTCAACCCGCGGCCGAGTCCGGCGTAGCAGCCCCCTGACAGGGCTCCATCTCCCTCAATATTTCCGCCGAAGTCCTCCCAGTAGTTGCTTCCTAGTTTACAGGGCGTCCTTATCCTACGGGCTGACTGTAGCTCGAGCCCTGCCCTTGCATCCTTCCCCCGGCATCCTTCCCCTTCGGGACTCAGGCAGGGCCGCGCTATCGTGAGCAGCTGCGCCGCCTTGCCGAGGGCAGGTTCCCTAGTACCAGGGCTCGCACCAAGGGTCTGCACATAAGGGCCCCTGTTGGAATCGGCAGGGGTATGGCCAGCAAGCTACGTAGCACTTGGGAGCCGCAGCGGGCTGAGCTTCCGAATGGAGATCTACACGAGGCGCCTGGGGTCGATACTACCCCGTCGGCTCTCCCGAGCCAGACGGAACAGCGTCAAATAGTGCTTCGTTGCCTCGGGCTAGTTGAATATGATTTAATAGGGGTGGCAGAGATTGGGCGAATCTCCACAGAACGGCTGCAGCGCTGACAGTGACGGAGGTTCCTGGGAGGATGAAGCCTTGAAGCCTGATTGAGGCTTGCGATTTGGGACTGTCCTTGAGACCACACGCAACAACAATCATTTTAAGACCGTTCGCTCTTATCTGCTCGCGTGTCATTCAATATGCGTATCCCAAACCCTGGATACCCGCCCTCTTCGTCTTCGATCGTGCCCCCTTTGGGGGGGTAGATTCATTCCCTGCCACGTGTGGTTGGTGAAGCCTTGAAAACGAAGGGTAACAAATAATGAGGGAAAATGAGGACGAAGGGATCGGAGGAAGGGAGGGGAGGGGCAAGAAGAAGGGAAGACGATTATTTGTTCTGCGAGTGGTGATTCAGCTTGCGCCATAGCTTGCGCCAGCCACTCCAACACAGGTTAACAGTAAGTTTCGCCATGGGTCGCGCCATAAGCAACGCCACGTGCCACCCTCTTGAAAGAACATATCGTGGATACCCCCACGGGGGGGCGCACAGCTGCGAACTGGTGTCAGAAACGAATTTCGTGGAACCCTGAGAAGAAGCGGGATGTTGGGAGAGTGGGGCGGAAGGATAGTGAGAATTGCAACCGTGTCGAGAGGATCGCGGGGATGTGGAGTGGATTGGGATGGAGTGGACAAGGGCAGGGTCTCAGGAGGAGGAGCGGCAAGGAGTGGAGAAGAGGAACCGGGAATACTTTGGGAGACATGCGGAATGCGAGCGGGAAGGGGTGGAGATTGTTGTTGTGGGATGGGGTGGCCTGGGGAGGAGTGAGCGGGATGCGAAGAACTGAAGAATAACACAATGGAGTACGAACGAAAGGAAAATGAAGATAAATGGAAAGAGTAGAGAAGACAGGGAAACAACTTTGAAAAGTGGGGGCAGGTGGATACGAGTGGAGACTGGTGCGGAAACAAGGCGCGGGGGGATTGGAAGGCACCCGAAAGCCTCCTATGACCTCTGGGGGGCCTCGGAATGGCCCCGATCACCGCCGAGCAGTTCCAGAGGCTCCGAAAACCTGCGGGAACGCAGGCGGGAGCCTTTGTTGGCGCGTGCCACGACGGGCGCGAACGAGCGGGGGCCCCGAAGGGCATGCGTATAGGGGGGCGCAGAGGGCAGCGACGGAGCCGCTGAGGGCAGAAACGGGGCCACGAAGGGCAGAGAAGGGGCCACGAAGAGCGACAGCGGGGCCACGAAGGGCATGCACATGGGGCCACGACGGTCGCGAACTAGCGGGGGCCACGAAGGGCATACATATATGGAGCCAGAAAGGGCGACAGCGGGGCCACTGAGCGCAGAAAGAAAGTGAGCCACGAAGGGCAGCGAGGGGGGCACGAATGGCGACAGCGGAGCGACGAAACGCATGCGTATGGGACCACGAAGGGCGCGAGCGAGCGGGGGCCACGAAGGGCAGTTAATCCGGGGCCACAGAAGGCAGCGACGGGGCCGTTGAAGGCAGAAACGGGGCCACGAAGGGCAGAGAGGGGGCCACGAAGGGCGACAGCGGGGCCACGAAGGGCATGCACATGGGGCCACGACGGGCGCGAACGAGCGGGGGCCACGAAGGGCATTCGTAGATGGGGCCGCAAAGGGCGACAGCGGGGCCACTGAGGGCAGCAACGGGGCCACGAAGGGCAGCGAGAGGGCCACGAAGGGCGACAGCGGGACTACGAAGGTCATGCGTACGGGGCCACGACGGGCGACTGCGAGCGGGGGCCACGAAGGGCATAGAATGCGGGGCCACAATGGGCAGCGACGGGGCCACTGAGGGCAGCAACGGGGCCACGAAGGGCAGCGACCGAAGGCGACCGCGGAGCCAGTATGGGCAGCGAGGGGCAGCGAAGGCGGGCGAAGCGCAGCGAGCGGCGACTGCATTCCCTAACGGGCTGGTCGGGCGGGCGGGCATGCCCAGACGCGCGGGTCGAGCGGGCGGGTCGTTGAAGCGTGGATTCTGCTTGAACCGCCAGGCAATATGTAGCGGGACTGCGAGTCCTGAGTGCCGAGGAGCGGCATCCGAATAAATCGTTAGGAACTATCAGGCGGGAGCAGCGATCCGGTGGTAAGTTGCGAGGAGGTCCCAAGCGAGAGCGCGATTCTTCAATACATTGTAAGGAAGTATCAAGCGGGAGCCGCGATCCGGTGGTAAATAACAAGGAAGTCCCAAGCGAGAGCGCGATTCTTTAATACATTGTGAGGAAGTAGCAGGCGGGAGCCGTTGTTGTTGTAAACTGGGGGCCAACGATACAGTTTGACTCTCAAGATTTTCTCTGCTGAAAACAGGGTGCGAGCCCAGGGAAAGGCACTCAATAGAAAAAACAATGTGCACCAGACGGGGGTGATCAACAATAATTATTCTTCATAAATGAAAGTTCAACAAAATCCTTCCCCTTCGGCCCCTGCATCCGTCCCCCTCGGCCCATCTTTGGCCGCTCGCAGAGTGTCGGCATGGCCTTCCCAAGGCCCTTGCATCCTCATCGGGCGTCCTTATCCTGCGGGTTGGCTGTTGCTCGAGAACCCTGCCCTCCACCATTCCAAGGAGGGGAAAAACGCACAGACACAATCAATCGTCGACTCCCAGGACGATATGGGACAAGATGGAAAGTGGGGGGAACAAAAGCCCAGAACATATGGGAACAGATGGGGGATCCTGCTATGTGTGTGTGTGTGCATGTATTTGTGCGTCCCAGGGCCCCTTTACATCCCCCGGCGGGGGCGAGAGCGGTTCGGGGACAAGAGCACGGGGCCAGCCGGGCTCGGGCTTGCCACGCCGCCAGCACAGGCGCGGCGCCTCCTCTTCCCTCCTCCTCCTCCTCCTCCTCCTCCTCCTCCTCCTCCTCCTCCTCTTCCTCCTCCTCCCCGTCCCTTCTCCTCCTCCTCCTCCTCCTCCTCCTCCTCCTCCTCCTCCTCCTCCTCCTCCTCCTCCTCCTCCTCCTCCTTCCTCCTCCTCCTCCTCCTCCTCCTCCTCTTCCTCTTCCTCTCCTCCTCCTCCTCCTCCTCCTCCTCCTCTTCCTCCTCCTCCTCCTCCTCCTTCTCCTCCTCTTCCCTCTCCTCCTCCTCCTTCTCCCCCGTCCCTCCTCCTCCTCCTCTCCTCCTCCTCCTCCTCCTCCTCCTCCTCCTCCTCCTCCTCCTCCTCCTCCTCCTCCTCCTCCTCCTCCTCCTCCTCCTCCTCCTCCTCCTCCTCCTCCTCCTCCTCCTCCTCCTCCTCCTCCTCCTCCTCCTCCCCCCCTCCTCCTCCTCCTCCTCCTCCTCCTCCTCCTCCTCCTCCTCCTCCTCCTCCTCCTCCTCCTCCTCCTCCTCCTCCCGCCGCCGCACAGGTGCGGTGCACGCTCGAGGCCCTCATCGTCATTTTCGTCCACAACCAGAACGTGGTCCAGGCCCCAGAGCTCAGGAGGAGGAAAATCGGGGGTGGACAGAGCCCCCACGCTGACACGTCGATTCGTGGATTGTCCATTGTCCGTGCTCGGGAGGGCGCCGCGGCCGTCACTTTCCAGGCTTGCGCCCGCAAGGTTTGGGCCCGAGGTCGTTTTCACTAAACCGCGTTTTACTAAAGGGGGTTCTGTTCTGCCCATCCCCGAAGAGGAAAAAGGTGCCCATGCCGCTACCCATCACCAGGTTTCGTCTTCGGGGGACCTTCTTGGAAGGCCCTCGTCGCCACCGCTGGCTTCGCCTCGAGTTTCCCGCCAACCCCTCTCATCACAGAGAGAGAGAGAGCGAACAAACAAAACAACAAAGACAAGAGAAAGAAAGACAGAAAGAGAGAGAGAGAGAGAGAGAGAGAAAGAGGGAGGCAAGCAGACAGAGACAGACAGAGACAGAGACAGTGATAGAGATAGAGAGAGAGAGAGTAAAACAAAAAAAGGAGATATGCGACTGTGCGGAAGCCGTCGCGCTAAGCACAAGATGGCACACAAGGGGCGCCCGGCCCCTTAAGGGCCAAGCACACTCCCAGAAGCAAACTCCCAAGAGCACACTCCTCACAGGGGACCGCGGCGGGGAGAGCGCGGGAGCGCACGACGATGTGCCGCGCGAAGCGTGATGAAATGAAGGGAAAAAGAGAGAGAGAGAGAGAGAGAGACAGAGGGAGAGAGAGAGAGAGAGAGAAAGAGGAGATGGTTGCGTTTCCATCAGACTGGATCTGTGATGATCTGTGGGGTTTCTGCAGGTTCGTTCTGGGCCCCGGGGCCAGAAGAGACAGTGCCCAGCCTAGGCACGGGCTGGCCACGGAAAGGGGGGGAGGGGGCGAGCCGTCCGGGGGGCCCACGTCGAGAGAAGGACAGGGCGTCCGCTGCCTGGGTGGCCACTGCGCTTGCGTCGGGCAGGTCCCTCCGCGGGAGGCATGCTCCAGAAAAGTGCAAACAAAGGCGAGGTGACGATGGCTCGCGTGTTTGACGCTTTGGGGATTGTGTGGTGTCCGATGGTTTCCGCCACCAGCCGCCCGTGGGAGGACATGCCCGACCTGAAACCTGCGCCTCCGCGCTCCCCTGCTCACGCAGGTCACCCGCGTGTGTGCGAGGGCAGCCGTGCTCGGCGCGGCGGCGTGTGCGGGCCAGGGCGCCGGCCTCTCCCAGGGGGGCGGCACGGGCTCGCGGAGACGACCACGCGCTGGTCCGCGCGGCGATGCGTCTTCCCGAGAGCGTGGGCGTGCAGATCAGGGCACCCGTCGGGGTCCCCCGTCCCTGCTCTGCCGCGTAGCGCTCGCGATGCCCCTGAGGGTCCCCGAGTAGCCTCTGACCCTTCGCAGGGTTCGCCGATGAAGTAGGCGAGCGAAGAGATGGGCCCTCCTCGTCATCTTCCTGGGGGGTTCCCCTCCTCCCCCTCCACATGATGTTCCTCCTGTTGCTGCTCCTCCTTCCTCCCCCTCCACATGATGTTCCCCCTGTTGCTCCTACGTTTCTACGTTTCTCGCTATGCAGCGTCTTGTCGCGCGCCCCGCGGGCGCGGAGCGCTCTGCAGCGGCCCTCCAGGGCCGTGCGGGCACTCAGACAGCGGCCCCGGGAACCCGACCCCGAGGAAAGCAGGGAGCCAGGGACCAAATAATCACAGAGAAGGGAGAAGGGGGGCCGGGTTTCAGCAAAACTAAAAAGATGAGGGCCCGTCTGGGCCCTCAGCGGGCGCCGCGCTCGCCCGTGCCAGCTCAGCCAGCTCGGCGCGCAGCCAGGCCTTCAGCCTCTTTGTGGGCGGTCGGCCTCTTGTGTGGCGGCTGGGCTCCCTTCGGCGCCTCGCGCTGAGCCCAGCCGCCAGATCATCAGATGGATGGCCGCCTTCTCTGCGGCGGCCTCCACCCTTCGGCGCTTAGCGCTGTGGAGGCCCGCCGAGCCTCTCTTGGACTCCGGCGGCTCTGCAGCAATCTCCTCGCCTGCCACGCGAGGGCGGTGGGGAGACACCCTTCGGCGCCAGGCGCTGTGTCTCCCTCACCGCGGGGCAGGCTGCCCCTTCTGGTCGAGTACTCCATGGCTTGTAATTCTCCATGGTGACTGACGCTGTATACTTCCAGTACTGCCTGACGTTGCAGAGCTGCTCCATGTAGAGCTTGCGCTTGTAGGGCTCCATGTAGAGCTGCGGTGCTGCCGTCGTCAGTCATGACCCCCCTGCTTTTGAGGTGCAGGGGGGTGCTGATCACGGATGTTGTAGATGTCGATGTATGGGGGCTGAGTGCAAGATGTGGAGCGAGTTGGACGGTCGTTGGGGGTCGGTTCGTTGCTGGTGTTGTGTTGGTTGTGGGCTCCCAAGGCCTCCATGCACCGACTTCAAGTGGGGGTCCTTGCTGTCCCACCTCGTCCCGCTATGGCTAGGGGTCACGGTGCCCTCGGTGGGGGCGAACCCCAGGCCTGGTACTTGTTATCGTCGGAGTGGGGTGTCTCGGCTGTCCAGCTTCGCCCTCGGGCGATCGGGTAGCTCCTCCTTCTCCATGGGAATGGTGGGGGTGGCGAGCTAGGGCGGACCGCGGGGGCGCAGGTAGTGGCCGTCCTACCCCCCCCCTGCCCCTCACCATCCCCGCTGGCGGGCGCGGGAAGTACTCGTCCTTCCCCCCCAGCCCTTCGAGCCCATCTCGAAGTTTGATCCTCACCAGGACAGCGTTGACTTGGCAGGAGTTGTGTGGGGTCGTGCTGGGTATGCTGTCGATATCGGTCGGTGGTACGCTTGCGGCCAATGGGCCGCCCGCTGCCAGCCAGCTGGCGCCATCCAAATTGTAGATATCCAGTCGCCGCCGGGGTACACAACAAAACGTGGCGACTTGTGCCTGGGGTGTTCCCTCGCATTCGGGGCTTCCCCAGGACTTGCATTCTAACCATAGCAAAACTTGACGACGCTGCCTGAGGTCTTCCCACGCATTCGGGGCTTCCTCAGGACTTAAGCAGCACACCGCAATGCCTTGTCCAGGGCGCAAGATAATCATAGAAATAAATGCCAATGTTAGGAAAGTCGCTAAATCCAGAAAGTGCTCGAGGGGGGGGCACGCTCCGTCGCCATTGAGGGATCGTGCCCACCCGTATGGGCGCTACGGGTCCCCCCCCCTCGAGTGTGGCACGCAATCGTTGTCCAGGTCGCAGCCGTGCCAGTAACCCAGTAGCAACGGGGTATTGGGCCATGCAGTAGGTGCGCTGATGCTGACACGTCTGCTGCCAATCTGAAATACTCTGTATACAATATTGTAATGCCAGCTGCCCTCAAATCTGTAGCAGGCCGGTGGTCTGCGCCAAACTGCAGACCAATGTTCCCTTCAGGGGCTGAAGTATATAATACTGAACGCTTGACTCGACTAACTGCACCAAATAATGTAGTGCCGCTGCAGTGCCAGCTGCTAGCGCCGATGGTTGCCCCATGCCATGTGACAGTCATGGCCGAGCTGCTCTGGCTCAATGTAGTAATCCAAGGGGGCGTAGAACCTGTGGTAGCATTCATCCGTTTCGGCCCACATTGTTGAGTTTTTTCTTTCCTTGAGGACATCCTTCAAACGAATTATGGAAAAATTGCTTTTCAATTGGTTTTGAATTGATCGCGGATTTCTGAAAAATTGCGTCAGGAGCTGGTTCTTGACAAGCCAACACCTTAGCGACACATGCGCAGAAACAAAAGGAAGGACTGCTGTGCGCGCATGGTGGCACGTGCTGGCATTGTTGGACATAGGCTGGAACAATCATTCGCCAACTCGTGGCAAGGAAATTCATGAGCCTTGTGATGCAAGCCGCTGTGAAGTAGAGGAAAAATCATGGATTGAGGTTTGGCGGGGGGAGCGGGGGAGTCAGGGAAACGGATGGCAGAGGCAAGACATGAGAAAGAATGGCGGAGGGAGAAATGAGGGATAACGGGGGGGGGGTCAGAAGAGGGAGGGGAAGCTGGAAATTATCAGAGAGGGAGGGACGTGACATCGATTATCCTGGCAGCTCTATCAAGACTGCCCAACCTAAGCTGGCCACCAAAAGGGCTCTTCCTAGACGACTCCTCCTAGACTGCTCCCCCTAGACAGCTCCACCAAGACAGCTCGGCCCTAGACTGCCCGCCGAGACGCCCCCCCAAGATGACTGCCCACCGAGACGCCCCCCCAGACGTCCTATCCCAATCTTCATGTTGACCTCAAGCCGTCTCTTTCCTAAACGGCACAAGTATTTCGAAACATTGCGACAGGTTGGCCAGTTTCGCCTGAGATACCCTCGCAATCCTGAGCTCACAAACGCTATGTAGCATACGGCGCATGCCATTGGATACAATATTGTTTTCTTGTTATGTTGTCTGAAGGGCGGGTGCTGCCTGCAGTCGTTCAGTGGCAGCCTCGCGCCTCGGGTGAACTCACCACCCGAGCAAAGACAGTGGTAGTGCAACCTCGTCAAACATGCGTGTGTGTGTTATTGCTCATGGTATGTGTCTGGATGCTGTCATGCCATACTGTGGGTGCTCATGCACCACTTCTGTTGCACAAACCACTGAGCCAGCAACAACTGAATAGCACTGGTCTCGCCAGCCATGCCAGCAGCAAATGAATAAAACTGCGAGCAGCGATAATTGAATAAAACTGGCCACCGAACCAGCAACAACTGAATAGAGCTGGCCGGCCGCCTGCTTAAAGAGGGAGCAACTTGATGGCGTGCTCCGCGCACTTCTTCACCGACGCGTGCACGTGCTCCCAGCTGCTCGGCTTGGACTTCTCAGCGGCATTCTTCTCGAGCCTCACCTTGGACTGCAACGTGTTGCGATTGTCTTTGAACTTCGCGAAGATGGCCATCATCGTTGCCTCGCGCGAGGTCGTGACCGCCTTGGCGATCCTCGCCGCCTGCTCGACCTCCCACTGCGTGAGAGGCTTCACGTCCAGCCCCTCCCTCTCGAGCTGGGCGTCCCCGAACGCTTTCTGGAACTTAGAGACCGCAGCCTTGAACCT